GTGAAAAATGTGTATCTGTTATTAATTAATAAGATATTAATAGAATATGTGGATGTAATTGCATTTTTGGTACCTATTTAACCTATTTAAGTACCTATTTAACAAATAGCACAATTCTAGGCTCTTTAAGGGAAAACACAGTGGTCACTTTCAATTTATAATCTATGTGAAGTGAGGTAGGCATAAATAATATAATTAAAATATAATAATATGAAACAACATACAATTAAATACTAGACTGTAGGGTATAGAGAATAGTAATATAGGGATTGAGAGTGAAGGAAGTTTAGGAGTAGAGAGCGAAACGGTTTTGAGCCTACTTTTCAGGGTAATAAGCACGTGTTGAGTGCCTCCTATGGGCCAGCTGCTGTCTGGTCAGTGGGGTCTCACAGGTGACTGCTCTAGAAACATCTGTATGGTGAGAATAGGAGGGAAACCAGTGATAAGTCACTTGATTGATTAGAAGGTCTACCTTGGGGAGTATTGAAAAATAAAATCCAAATGGCAAAATGAATCCAGTTGAAAGTGAGTTCTGAGATCACGGAATTTGTATTTCATGTATTCAATTAAAAATATTTACTGAATGAGAATTATGTGCCAAGCTCAGGGTTATAATTATAGACAAAGAAAAAAAGTTTCTTGTCCTTACGGAATTACGAATACATGTAAAATCTGTATGTACAACTATGTTAAATGTAAAGAAAATAAATATTACGCTCTAAGATCATCTAATAGGAGATTTGGCCTCTAGGAAGTTGTGATTCAGATCTGGAAGTGAGTAGGCAACATCAGGGCAGCGGTCGTGGGTGTCGGGAGAGAGTAGAGCATCTAACAGAAGGAATTGCAAGTGGAAAGCCCTGTTGGTGGAGGGAAAGTAATGAAAACTGAGACCGGAGGGACCAGGCCACACAGGACATTTTTGACAAAGTTTAAAGATTTTGTCTTTAGCCTAAGAGCAGTAGGAAGCAGCTGAAGAATTTTAGTTTTAAGCCCATAGTGCTATTATTAGAAGTACATTTTGAAAAGATCCCTGAAATTGTGGAGAATGAATCGGACAGAAGATAAGTTGTTATATTAGTCACATTAGAGTAGCTGTGACTGGGTAGAGCAAAGTAACGAGCAAAGCTACTGGCAATGCAAAGAGAAGAAAAAGCAAAGACTCAAAAGATATTAGGAGTCACAGAATGGATAAAAGACTTCAATGGCACTCATGAAACCATAAAAATCCTAGAAGAAAATGTAGGCAGCAAAATCTCAGACATCACACATAGCAGAATTTTCACTGATACATCATCGCTTAGGGAAAGAGAAACAAAGGAAAATATGAATAAATGGATTACATCAAACTAAAATCTTCTGAACAGCAAAAAAATCAAGCATCAAAATGAAAAGGGAACCCACTCTATGAAAGAGCATAATTGCCAATGATACATCAGATAAGGGGTTAATTTCCAAAATATATAGAATGTTCATACAACTCAACAAAAGGAAGACAAAGAACCCAATTTAAAAATGGGCAGAAGCCCTGGCCAGTTTGGCTCAGCCGTTAGAGCATCAGCCTGTGGACCAAAGGGTCATGGGTTTGATTCCCAGTCAAGGGCACCTACCTGGGTTGCAGGTTCAATCCCCGGCCCTGGTTGGGGTCATGTGGGAGACAACTAATTGATGTGTCTCTCTCACATCAATGTTTCTCTGTCCCTCCCTCCCTCCCTTCCACTCTTTCTGAGAAGCAATGGGAAAATATCCTCAGGAAAAAGAAAAAAATAGGCAGATGATCTAAATAGACACCTCTCCAAACAGGCAAACAGGACATACAAATGACCAAGAGACATATGAAAAAATGTTCAACATCAGTAATCATCAGAGAGATGCAAATTAAAACAACTATGAGTTATCACCTCACACCTGTCAGAATGGCCGCCATCAACAAATCATCAAACAACAAGTGCTGGCGAGGGTGGGGAGAAAAGAGGACTCTAATACACTGCTGGTGGGAATGCAGACTGGTGCAGCCACTATGGAAAACAAAATGGAGTTTCCTCAAAAAATTAAAAATTGAACTGCCATTTGGCTCAGTGATTTCACTTTTAGGAATATATCTTAAGAAGCCTGAAACACTAATCAGAAAAAATATATGCATCCCCATGTTCATAGCAGTACTATTTACAATAGCTAAGATCTGGAAATAGCCCAAGTGTCCATCAATAGATGAATGGATACAAAAGCTGTGGTACATGTACACAGTGGAATACTATGCAGCTGTAAGGAAGAAAGATCTCTTATCCTTTGAGATGACATGGAGGGATCTGGAGAGTATTATGCTAAGCTAAATAAGCCAATCAGAGAAAGACAAATATCACATGATCTCACTTATTTGTGGAATATAATGAACAAAATAAGCTGATGACCAAAATAAACCCAGAGACTATAGAAGTAGGGATCAGACAGACAAGCCTCAGAGAAAGGGGATGGGGTGGGCAGAGATAGACCAAATGCATAGCTGGTGGACATAGGCAGCATGAAGGGGAGATGGGAGCAGGGAGGAGGGTGTCCATGGGAGAAAAAGGAGAAACATCTGTAACAAAAATAATTAATAAATAATAATAATAAAAAGATATTAGGAGTTAAAATTAAGACACTTTGCGTGGGGAGCCAGGAAGAGAGAGATCAGGGATGAGTCCCAGGTTCCAGACTTGGGAAACAGGTACTGGTGCCTTCCCCTGCAAGAGGGTCAGGTTTTAGGTGTTTGCGGTTTTGTTGACTTTTTCGTTCGATTTTCCTGGGAGTGGAGGAGAAAGTACATGAGTTTGGTTTTGTACATGTTGAGTTTGATATATGTAAGTGGAGATGTCAAGTCAGTAGTTGTGCTATGAGATATATTTTCAGGGTCCATTATGTTACTGAATCCTTGGACATGGATGAAAAGCCTCTAGGGAGAAAATATAGATTGACAAGAGAAGAAGTCTGAGAACTGAGATGTAAGCACTACCAACAGTGGATAAGCCTGCAGAGAAGACAAAGGTGGAGATGCCAGAGAGGGGGAGGAAAAGCCAGGAACCCTTACAGGAAAAGTAAGGGCTACTTGCTTATGGATATGGTGGTGATTGGACTGTTTTTCCAAAGCAAAAGGAATGAGCAACTTGGAGGACCAGATTGATGAATATAGAGTCAAGGAAAGTAGTGACAAGAGATAAGAGCCCAGAGTAGATTTGTTGTGGTCAGACGAAAATAAAAGAATAACTTTAAAAACCCCACACATGGAAACACCTAGAGAACATTATGCTGTCAAATAAGCCAGTCAGAGAAAGACAAGGACCGTATGATTTCACTTATATGTGGAATTTAATGAACAAACTGAACTACCAAGCAAACAGAGACAGACTCATAGATAGAGACCAGGCAGACAGTGGGGGTGGGGGGGGAGCGGAGGGATTGAGCAAAATAAGAAAAAAATAGAACTCATGGACTTTGGACAACAGTGTGGGGAGTGTGGGGAGGAGAGGGATGGGTTGGGTGGAAGAGGGTATAGAGAAGATAAATAGTGGAAAAAAAGAAAACAACTAAATTAAAAAGAAAACACACCACAGAGAAATAATTGGGAAGCTGGATTAAACGTAAAGGATAAAAGATGGGATCCAAGTTGGGAGAAGAGAGAACTGTTAAAAACAGCCAACAGAAACAGTTTCTTAAGAACAATTAATATGGTCTAATTAGGAAAGCATGAATTCTGTTTAAAGGTTTTGAAATTACACTACCTTTTTTGTGATAAAATTTTTAAAATGCCATATACATAGAAAAGCTGTTTTAATAGAAGATGTAAGGGAACAGAGGTAGGAGAAAAGGATGACTAACGTCTACCGTGGATCCAAATTTTAAATATAGCTATGTATTAAGCTACTTGGATGTGTTTTCTCAATTAACCGATAGGAACCCCTAATCATTTTTATAACTTTGATGACTAGAGGGAGCCGTCTTACACAAAGCTAGAGCATTGTGGACTTGGCAGCAGTTTGAGAAACTATTACATATGGCAGAGCCAGACATAGGAAAACCAACAGGGGAAGGACTAAAAACTGCATAAAACAAAAGAATATATGAATACCTGTTGTGTCTTATGACAATAATGCTTACCTTCTTTTCTGAATGACCCTTCTTCATTGGTTCCCCTACACTGCCACTTATGTAATATTGACCCCAATGTGAAACTTAAATGGTGAGAAATGCTCACCATTTGAGTTGCCTTGAATAAAATGAGAATAATGGGAGGCTTTTAGGCAATTTAGATTCAAAGCCAAGTTTTACCTCTGATGCTGTGCAAGAATGTTTACCTCTTTTGCATAGTAAACATGGCAACTTAGTGCTTTAAGCCTCAAACTCACATGGTATCTTTTTGGTTAGTCTAGGGGAAAGGAATTGGGAAATAGACTCTTTGGGGATGTAGTTCATTTGACTTTCTTAAGTATAATATGGTGTTAAGGGGCCAGGCGATCTGGGTTCAAATCCTGCCTCTTTCACTTTTTATGTGATTTGGCACAAGTTCCCTAATCTTTTTTCTTATTTTATTTATGTGTTAAATGAAGATACTTATGGTGTCTCCTGCTTAAACTTCTTCTAAGGGTTCAAGTAATTAACTCTAAGAAGAGCAAGTGTTTGGTAAATAATACATTAAAACTATAATTTTTTAAGGGTTTGTTAAAAAATTAATACTATGTAATATTGTGAAATTGATGAAATCTTATTTTCTTAAACCCAGATCAAAATTTAATTGAAATATACCAGGAAGGATTTAAATATTATATATTGTGAAGAAGTTACTAGGCTGGAAAACAACTATACTCCGGCGTTAATGAGTGATGGAATTAAGGGTGCGTTTTACTGAATGGTACAGGTCGTGAGTCTTGTACCACAGTGAATCCCCTAGTGCTATGGGATTTGATTCCTTCGTGGTCCCCTCATTATTTATGCTTGATCCTTCTCTCCATCGGTCCTGTTCTTCACAGTCGGATACTTCTGGGGACTATGAGATGGCGCTCTTAAAGCTCTGTGGAGGAGATGACTGAGTCCAGAACATCATCTGCAGAGGTCGCCTGCTCCCACGGTGGGCTTTCCATCAGCTCTGCTTCCTTCTTGCTCACAGTGTTTCAAAGCACAGGCAGGTGTAAACAGCACCCTGTTTTTCCTAACATATTTTCACCGTTCCATAACAGCAACAACATGATTATCGTAGAGCATCTCATCATAATGTAGTCGTTTATAAATGGAAATTTTAAATAATGTGAAGAATCTCCTAATACTGTCTAAATTTCATTTCTACTTAGGAAGTGAGCATCTTTGTACTGTTCTAAAACATTAAATGCAAATCAGAGTAATAAACGTTGTTGCTTTTATTAAATCGTCTGTTTTTAGCGTCTACTGACATTGTTGGTACCTGGTGTCAGCCACGAATGATATTTTATAACATGTTTTTGTTACAAAATCTGTTGCTGCTTCAGTCTATCTATTACCTTATTAATCATGTTTGTCTTTAAGAAAAGGAATAAAAATGAAGATGGATGTAAGCCTGCCTACACTTTCTAGTTGTGAGCAATCTATAGGAGTGGCAATGAGTGATAAGTTATTCTAGCCCTCAGAACACATCTGCTGAACTATTCATCTAAGCACTTCCTGTATGATGGCAAGTTGTTTTCTGCTAAATACTGCTTTCCCAGAATGGGTATTTAGAATCCAGTCTATAAGTTTTCCTTTTCCTCTAAAAGAAGCTTGCAAATCTATGCATTTAAAAAATCCCACATGTGCCTTGGCTGGGTGGCTTAGTTGATTGGAGTGTTGTCCCATATCCCAAAAAGGTTGCTGGTTTGATTCCCGGTCAGGGCCCATACCTAGGTTGTGGATTTGATCCCCATTTGGGGCATGTATGGGAGGCAGCCGATTGATGTTTCTCTCTCACATTGATGCCTCTCTCTCTTTCCATCTCCAAAAATCAATTTAAAAAAAACAAAAACCTATTCATGCGTGAAGATAAAAAAAAAAAATCCCTTATGTTATCTTTCAAAGGAGCCTACCATGAAATATCTATCTTGACTAATATGAACTATATGAGGTAAACAGTTCCAGTTGGAGTTATCAATCTGGACTAGATAAAAGTGACAGATGTGTGAGAGATAGAAACAGATGTGGTGTTCAGACTTAATCAACGCATTCCTCTGGAAAACCCTCCTGAGACCTCTTAGAAAGATAGAGAAGTTATCTCTTGTTCTAGAATTTCCAAAATATACACAGGGATCAAGTGTATGGATTTAGAGTCCTGCACACAGGGTTTTGACTTCCTGCCCTACCATGTACAAGCTCTGTGTCCCTGGCAACTACTAAGCCCTGCAGAACCAAAGTTTCTTTATCTCTAAAAGAGTGATAATTATAGCATCTGTTTTTCTCATAGAGTTTCTTAAAGATTAAGTGAGATAATACCTGTGAACACTTAGCCCTGTGCCTGGAAATGGCAATCAATTAGCATGTTACCATTATTATTACCAAGCAACATCAAAATGATCACAACAGCATTGCAACTGTTCTTCAACACTTCACCCACCATGTGCCAAGCCCAGTGCCAAGTAAGTATTGGCCACACTTCCTATAGGAGTCACATCTTATTGCCAAAGAGCTTAAAATTTGAGAAAGAGACACATAAGCAGATAAACACAACACAGTATGGCCTGTGCATTCAGGGAAATGCCTTTGTATAAAAGACAGGCAGTATGGTGGTGGGAGCAAGAAGTCAGCCTCCTGAAGGTTATAAACCCCAGTTAGAAAGAAGGAGAAAGGCTCTACATATGGATAAGAGCACTTGCAAAGCCAGAGTTACAAACTAGCATGATGTGTGCACAACTCTACCCACAGGTTAGTGTGCTGGAGGCTTGGAGCACAAGGGCAGGTGGCCATGATCGGCAGGGGCCAGCGTGTGTGCCGTGCTGAAGGGTTTATAAGCAGGGGCAGTCGTGGGAGGAGCATTCCAGGAGGATTTCAGTGAGGGAGATGATGTGCTCAGATGTTTTATCAAAGGAGGAATGTGTAGGAGGAGAAAGCTAGAGGCAGGGAGCCTACTTGGCAACTTAGTTCTGTAATCAATACCAGAGGTGTCCATCTGAACTAAGATAAAGGCAAGGGAGACCAAAGGGGGGGAAATACACACACACTTAAGAAATATTTGGGAGAGAAAATTGATAGAACAAGAAAATCAAGGTAGTCAGGTGTCACATTCGCCCCAGTGACTTTTGGCTTCGTGATTTGGTGAATGAATGTCTCACCAAGAAGTAAATCATTGCTAATACGTGCGTGGTTACTGTGTACAGGCACTATGTTAAACTGTAGTTTACATTAAATCGTTAATCCTCAAGGAACTGGACAATGTAGGCACGGATCACAGATACAGAAATGGAGGCTTGGAGAAATTAAGTAACTTGGCCATTGGAAGAGCCAGGATTTAAGCCCAAGCAGCCCAACTTCAGCGTTCAAGCTTTTAACCATTATTTTGCATTAACATTTCTCCCACCCCAGGGCCACTGTTCTTTTCAACCCTAGAACATAAAGCTGTTTGAATGCAGGGAATTTTGTCTGTTGCATTGACTGCTGTATTCCTGGTGCTTAGAACATGCTTGGCACATTAAAAGTCCTTAATAAATCTTTGTTGAATAAGTGAAGTTCTTTTTCTTCCATACATTTGAGCTATGTAAGTGAATTGGGGGTGGCTATTTAAACATTTGAAAATATACCTGAGTCTCAGCTTCCCAGATTTGGGAAAAGAAACTAACATTATTGCACTATGGGCAGCCTTGGAGAAAAGTCCAGAAATTTTACGGACATGTAAATTATTTTTCTGAAGCTACCCATCACAATAAAGATAACTATATTGTAAAGCTGGCAATAACATTGGGACTTCTGCAGAAGAAACACATTCAAGTGCATGTATGTTCTTTGCTAAACTCCTGAAATGGCATCATACAATTTTAATCTTGGCCACATTCTCCAAAGGCACGGAGAAGGAATCTACCCACTTAGATTTTGATGATAACTGTTCTCTTTTTCCTCTGGAAAATGATTTGCTCCACTAGACTTCTCCTACATATATTTTTTTCTCCTTCCCTCCCTCCTTCCTTCCCTCCTTTTCTCTTTCCCTTCCTTCCTTTTTCTTTTCTTCCTCCCCATTCATTCTTCTATGTCTTTATATATTTCTATAATAAGTGCTTTGAAACCACCCTCAACACGAACACTCAGACTTTGACAGTAACCTACCAACAACCACGTGGTCCTCCCCTTCCATCTCCCCACCCTGTGTAACCACCAACCCAAACTCCATGTTCATTCCCCTTCGCTTTCTTTTTATATCGTTTTTCACTTAATTTTTTTTCTTTATAAAATGAGTCTTGTATTGTATGTAATGTCTTGGACTTCTTTTTTCACTTATTGGTTTGCTAAGTGATCGTCCCATTATTGCATGCCATGCGTTTTATTTATTTTGACCGCTGTATATCATTTCATTGTGTAAATCATAGAAATAATTCCTAGGAGGCCACAGAATTGCCTGAAGGACGTAGGGAAGGCACAGTTTTATCTGGCTCCATAGCCCTCTGCTGCTTTGAAGCTGGGGTGCCTTACTGCGGCCACAGAAGTAGTAGTCAGAACACAACACTAGAAGAGCCTGTTTCACTCTAACGGGTTCTGATCACCGGTTTCCAATGCGTGCTGGAAGAAGGGTCCCCACGCCAACAAGCAGTGCTCGGACACCGGCTGATGTCTGACTGCTCCACTCAGTCGGACACTGTCTACCTGGGGACAGCAGCAGACCCCACAGGTCAAGGGTGCAATCTGTCAAGACTGCCCTCCCACCTCCAGATGCCAATCACAGGTCCAGGTTGTTACCTGTGTTCTGACCTACTGGCTGTAGATCAGAGATTGTAACAATTCCCTTTTGGTCTTCAGTTAATTTGCTAGAGAGGCTGACAGAACTCAGGGAAATGTTCACTTATGTTTACAGTTTATTATAAAAGGATATAATAAAGGATACAGATGAACATCAGATGGAAGAGCTGCACAGGGCAAGGTATGTGGGCAGAGGCACGGAGTGTCCATGCCCGGTCCTGGTGTGCCTTTCTCCCAGCACCCACAATCTCTCTGAATGCCATGCTACTGGGGTTTTTTTTTTTTTATCCTCACCCAAGGACATTTTTAGAGTGGGAGGAGAGAGAGGAAGAGAGAGAGAGAAACATCGACATGAAAGGGACACATCAAGTGGCTGCCACCTGCATGACCAACCAGGGCCGGGGACAAACTGCAACCGAGGTACGTGCCCTTGGCAGGAACCGAACCCGGTCTCTCTGGACCACAGGCAGATGCTCTAACCGCTGAGCCAAACCGGCCAGGGCAACTACTGGGATTTTTATGGGAGCTTCATCACATAGGCATGACCGATCGATCATTAACTCCATCTCCAGCCATTTCCCTTCTCGAGAATGGAAGCCTGGGGCTGAAAATTCTAAGCTTCTCCTCACGGTTTGGTCTTTCCGGTGACCAGCCCGCATCCTGGAGGCATCCAGGAGCCCACCCAGAGTCTCTTCTTTAGTAAAAACCAAATATTAGAACACAAGGTGAGCCTACTGCTCTCGTCACTCAGGAAATTGAAAGAATTTTAGAAGTTTTGAGCCAGGAACAATGATCTCATATTTTCTCAGGGAGTCACTGTGTAATCTTATATAAAGGGACAGCCACTAAACCGTTGTTCATGTCAATGTATTTGTTACGTATCTCTAAATGTCTAGCCCAGTTTCCTATTCATAGTAGGTACACAGAAATTTTAGGAATAATAATTTGTGTAGTGGGGGAGGAGATCTTTCCTGGCAGTTGTACCAGGTTGTTCTAAGGAACAGAGGGAATAATTAGAGGTACCTTGAAAAATATTGAATATTTTTCAAATGTTATATAGATTTATAGAGTTGATATAGGCCAAATTGATTATTACCCTTGAATAATACATTGTAATAGTAATATGATCTAGGTTAACATTTATTAAGGGCTTCCCATGTGGTATGCACTACGCTGAACATTTTTAAAATTGTTTTCTAATTGTCAAAATAAATTTGAGGTAGAAACTACTATTGTTCCCATTTTCAAGAATAATTAATTTTGTTCTATGTATGAACAGAGGACTTATTATGCACTGAGACCGTAGTAGCTATTTTAGATCGCGTTTATTTGAAGAGTCGTTATATTATTTGTCTGTCTCAAGTGCTTTGAAACAAAACGTGGTCAGCTGTGTCAATATTATTCCCATTTTACAGATGAGGAAAATGAGGCTCAGAAAGGTTAAGTTACTTGCCCAAGATTGTAGAGCAGGAAAGCCAAGGTTTAGAATCCAGGTCAGTTTGTGCCTGAGTATGAGGAGGGTGAGGACGAAAGCAGTGACGGTCC